TCTGGAATCTCATTGTAAGCCCACAGAAATTTTTTAATTGGTATTTCTATGTAGTTTTTTTAGTCTCCTCAAATTTTGAAAATGTTATACTGAATTTTTTTTTATTAACATTTTTGAAATTCGAAAATTTCTCTCTAGAATCTCATTCTAAGCCTACAGAAATTTCTTAGTATTTCAACATAGTTTAACTTTTTTTAGTCTTTTTTTTTAGTTTTTTATTTCATTCACATAAAGAGAATTTTTTAAGTTGCTATTTCTGAATYATTTTTTAGTCAATAAGTCTTTATTTGCAGCTGATAAACCTACAATTTTTTTTTGGAAATAGCACAAATTGCTTTATTTTGGCCTAAAATTGGATTTTAAGCAAATATTTTTGTAAAATACATTAATCTAGAATAATTCCAGTCTTAAAATTAAAATTAATTCGATTGGATTGCTTTATTTTGGAACAAATCTATCATTTGAAATTTTTTTTAATACTTTGATTTAACCAAATCGATTGGAAATAGCACAAATTGGATTTTTTTTTTACCTTCTAGATTTTCCAAATTGGCCCTTAAAAAATCGGTCAGTTTGTGGTCCATCAAAGGTAGGTCAAAATGCGACTTTTGCTGCCCTTTCGCCATATCCATTTGTTGCTGAAGCTGAATTTGTTGTCTCTGTTTCTCTAAATTCGCATTCAACTTATCAATATTTTGTTGTGCGATGACGCGATTTTGTTGCTGAATTAATGCCGCTGTGATTTGTTGCTGAGTTGGAGCTACGGATTTAGGCCTGTCTAATAGTTGTTGACTGATTTTTGAGTCCAAATTATTCTGTCCTGTTAGGTCGACTGCGCCCAAACCTGACAAAAAAATTGTGTTTTTTTTTAATGTATTGAAAAAAAGAAAATACTACGGCTGCGTATGTCCGGATTGTTCGATTGGGGTTCCCCCAAATAAGGGGGTGTTGTTAAATGCTGTAAAGTTTTTTGGGTCAGTTCCATTTGGTTTTTGTAGTAGCGACAAGCGGGATTTGGACAATTTTGCACCACTTCGATTATGAATTCTTTCTCCATGCCGAAATTCTCACGTCCGATAGTGTAGGATTCCATGACCTTGAAGAAATTGCACACAAAAATGTTTAATTATTGTTTTTCTTTTATTTTTTGAAACTTAAAATTATACAGGGTGCTTTAAAAACACAAAAAAATACCAAGTAAAATAAGATACCAGGAACATGAAAAAAAAAATTTTTAATTTAATTTAAAATAGGGTGTAACAAAAAAATGGGGACAAAGAGCAAGGTAAGATTCCCCAGGCTTAAAAATTAGAGGTCGCCAAAGTTTAAAATTTCTATCTGTCAATAATTTTTGACATTTTACATTGTACAGGGTGTAACGAAAAGATGGGGACAAAGAGCAACCTAAGTTTTCCCAGGTTTAAAAATCAGAGGTCGTCAAATAAAAATTAAAAATTATTTTCGTTTTTCTTTAATAACTTTTTTTATGAAATTTGGTACAGGCAATTTGATATCAAAATCTCAGGTTCTCTTTGTCCTCATCTTTTCGTTTCCCCCTGTATATTGTATTTCAATTTACATTATGAAGTGGGCAGAAGTTGATGAAACCTGTGATTAATGTAACACAAAGCAATGAAATGTTGCAATTCTTTTTGTTCAGTTGCAGATGTGTAACGGTCATGCTAGAAAAATTAAGAAAAATAAAAACTCATTTAAATTCAATTTAAATTTTATTACAAAAATGGTCATTTTGTAATAACCCTAAAAATTTACTTTTTTAAACACATCTGTTAAATTCTACTTTTTTGGGCCTAATTTGTCCAAAACTACTTCATGAACACTTTTTACCTACATATTGCAACTACTTTTACAAATTCGCTGTTGTTATTGTCGTTTTTAATAAATTAATTAATTTTTTTTTATTGTTTTTTGCTTACTATTCTATCTTCATTCATGCTATTTCTGGATAGTTTTTTAGTCTACAGCTCAATAATTTGAAAATTCTCTACTAACATTTTCGAAATTCGAAAATTTCTTTCTAGAAATCTACAAAAAAATTTACTTTATATTTCTAGATAGTTTTTTAGTCTCCCCAATTTTTTTACAGTCTGATATTAAATGTTTATACCGATTTTTTTTTAATCTGGGGTATCTTATATTTTTTTTTTCTTTTTGCAATCCAAGAGAATTTTTTAAATCGCTGTTTCTGGATAGTTTAATATTTTACAGCTCAATATTTTGAAAATTCTCTACTAACATTTTTGAAATTGGAAAATTTCACTCTAGAATCACATTGCAAGCCTACACAACTGTTTTAAAGTTGGAATTTCAATGAAGTTTTTTTAGTTTCTCCAACTGTCTTTTACAGACTGATATTTTGAAAATGTTTATACTGACATTTTTTTTAAATTTGAGTTTTTTATTACTTTTTTCTTATTTTTTAAGTAGTCATTTCTGGATAGTTTTTTAGTCTACACCCAATATTTT